GATTAAATCACGTTTGCTTAATTCGTGAGAGCTTAAACCCGTTTGCTTAATTGGGATAATAGGAACATACATTACATAGTACCAATTGCGCTTGTCAGTGGGTATTGTAATTGAATAGGGTCAAATCCGCTTAGGGAACTGGAAATTATATTAACCAATGATAAATTAGGAAACCAAAATAGTAGATAAACTTATTTCATAACCACTTATTTCATAACCACTTTTTATAATCACTTATTCTCAATCGAATCAAAACCCCCCTTATTTCAGTCGGTTGGTAAAAATCAAGACAAAAGTTCGTGTGATACGACAATGATGTCACTGATGAGTCGTCTTTTAACACTAAGTTCTCCTTCCTCCTCTATCACAAGTTCTACTCCTAGAGGTGTTGTTTCTTTGAAAACGGTTAAGGGTAGTATTCTTAATGAGGATATGAGAAGGAAGACACATGGTTCTTCATCTCAATCTGAGGTACTTTCACTGAAAATAGGGGGAGAAGTCATAAAAAGGAACCAAAAGGTGGTAGAGAGAATAGTAGAAGCAAGTCCAAGCCGCGATACAAAAATCTAGAGTGTCATTATTGTCACAAAACAGGACACGTACAAAAGTACTGATATTAGTGGAAAATGGATAACAAATGCAAGAAAGGTAAGTCTAAACAAAGAGACCATGAAGATCATGATGATGATCGTGTTACTACTGTTGCTTTTAATGATATTGTTATTCTACGTGATCATGAGCGAGTTAATCTCATATCATACGAGAGCATGTAAATAGTTGACAGTGGTGTTACATTGCATGTTACACCAAAGAAGGATTTATTCACATCTTATACTTGTGGTGATGTTAGAGTGTTGAAGATGGGCAATGATGGTGTATCTAAGGTAATTCGTGTTGGTGATGTTTTCTTGCAAACCAACATAGGAATGCAATCGTTGCTTAGAGATGTCAAATATGTTCTAGATGTCTGCTTTAATTTGATCTTTGTACATATGTTTGATGGTCGTGGTTATGAAAATCACTTTGGTTCTGGAAAGTGGAAACTCAACAAAGGTAACTTGGTTCTTGCTAGAGGAGAAAAGCTTTCTAAATTGTATTAGACAAAAGCTTTGGTTTCTAAGGACAATGTGAATGCTATCAACCTGGAAGCATCTTTGTGGCAGCGAAGGCTTAGTCATATTAGTGAAAAGGGGCTGAATGTTTTGGCCAAAAAGGATATTTTTCCAAGATTAAAGAATTCAGATTTCAAGAAGTGTTGTCATTGCATGGCTGGTAAATAGACTTAAGTATCTTTCAAAAGACATCTTCCCTCAAAGAAGTTAATGTTGCTTCAATTGGTACATTCTAATGCTTGTGGCCCATTAAATGAAAAATCCTTTAATGGTGAACTTTATTTTGTCACCTTTATTGATGATTGTTCCAGAAAACTATGGGTTTATGCCTTGAAGACAAAAGACCAAGTGTTGGAAAAGTTTAAAAAATTTCATGCTTTTATTGATCGAAGGCAGACATGCGAGAGGTTGAAATGTGCTCGTTCAGACAATGGTGGTGAGTATTATGGACAATTTGATGCCTATTGCAAGAAAAATAGTATTGCACTTGAAAATACTCCTCTTAAAACTCCTCAATTGAATGGTTTAGCAGAGATGGTGAAACGAACAATAATTGAGAGAGTAAGGTGTATGATCTCTAAAGCTAAGTTGCCTAATCGTTATTAGGGCAAGGCACTTTATGTGAAGTTAAGCTTCTCCAACTATTAGTTTTGATGAAGACAATTTAGAAGCAAATGCTCATAGAAAAAGAATGGAAAAAGCTTCATCGTCAAAGCTAAAGCATTAAGTGTTCAATATCATTCAACTTTATAAGACTAGCTTTTGGACTTTATGGTTGATCAATGGTTTTGAGGTACAAGTAGCAATTTCATTATGTTGATACTTGAGTGATAAAAAAATCATATTGATCATTTCATAATGCATACATTCCTTTAAAACCTTTTGAAACTTGGTTGAAACTTTCATTTCATCATATTGATGATATTGAAGCAGTAACACTTTTTCATTTAAAATCATATTCAAACATTTTTGCTTTTGTACCATGAAACATTGCATTGGTTGATCAAAATACCCACTTTAAAAATGGTATGATACTAATATATATACTGCTTTTTTTCACAATTCAAATTTCGACCTCTCATTGCAATTCAAATTAATAACTCTCTCTTTTTCAAATTAAGTGTCCTACTATACAAACTTTTGTTGAAACTTCTTGCATACATTTTCATTCCATTTCTAAAAATTTCAACATTATAATCTTTGAGGACTTGTACAACATATTGAGAATTTTCTACTTGATAGAGAAGATCATATATAGTAATTGATATAAATTGTTATCAAACTTCAAATTCTTATAAAAATTCATATTATTATGGAATACCTTGTTATCCAGGATTGTTGAAAGCAAAAGAGTGAATAAGGGAGGATTGTTCTCTTATTTCACTTTGTGAATATCATAAGGGGATTATCCTTATTGATTGGATTAGGAACTTGAGTATAGTAGCTAGGATATGCTTGTACAAAGTTCTAAATAAATAGTGAAATCTATTACTGCGTAAGAGGACTGGATGTACTCTTGAATTGTGAGGGAAACCAGGATACATCGTCACATTCTTTAAATTTCTGCACTTTACCGCTTTCTAAATCATCACCAAACCATAAAATTTAAAGCAAAATTTCAACAAATCGAAAATTATTCAAAGTACGTAAATCACCCCCCCCCCCCCCCCCCCTCTGAGGTGCAATCACTACTTACAATTGATATCAGAGTAGGTTATAGGTAACGTGTTCCTAAAGATTCAGAATGGCTTCTACAAGTACAAATCCTGTTTCCCAAAATAGTGGAAGGAGCAATAAACCTCCATTATTTTCTGATGAATATTTTGATTTTTGGAAAATACGAATGAAGGCTCATTTATAAGCACAAAGGGAAGAAATATGGGATGTTGTACAAAATGGTCTTTCGTGTTTCTCAATGTACATCGGCAAAGCAACTATGGAATACATTGGTGGAAACTCATAAAAGAACGAGTCTAGTAAAGAGATCAAGATTGAACATATTTAATCAAGAGTATGAATTATTCATAATGCAGCCCGAAAAATCAATTCTTGCATTAAAAAAGAGAATTGTACACTTGACAAATCACATGATCGCTCTCGGTAAGACTTTTACTAACGATGAACTTAACCTTAAAGTGCTTAGGTAGGTTTTTAACAAGGGAATGACAACCAAAATTGACGGTAATTTCGGAAAAGAAAATTTTTTCTACCATGACATCCGCTTCTTTGTTCGTTAAACTCCAAGAACATGAAATTGAACTTGGGAGAGTAGAAAAACATGAGAATCAAGAGAAGAAATCCAAAGGTATTGCTTTAAAAGCAATTAACCAACACGTGGTTTTCTACCCATAACTACATAGCCTTGAGTTCTCCTTCGCATCTAGAGATACGTAAGAGTTGGACCAAAAGTATTGTTAGGCACAATAATAAAAAACATAAAAAATCATTTTTTTCTCTTTCCTCGCATCAAAAGTAAAAGATCGCAAACTTTCACGCTAACACTCATTCACATAACTAACTAAATGAATCTCATCGAGTACGATGAATATGAGAGGTGTTAATATATTATCTTTGTATAACTAACTCCCGAACACTATCTGGTTGCGACAATCATATTTTTTCTTTAGCGGATTTTATCGATACTTTCCTTTTTTGAATAAATAAAGTTCATGACGACTCTGTTGTATTTCGAGTGTGCGAAGTGCTTGGGTATTTTTCGTGTCGCGATAGTTGTCAGAAAACGTGTTTCATTTTAATGCCAATGACGAATAAGGGTGTCTATCAACGACAATTCAAGCATGTGATTAAAAGAGATTTCGTTTAAGGGAGAGCATAATAGAAAGACTCATACTTAAGGAAAAGATTATTAAGAAACAAGTGTGAGTTGTATTCAGAAATAAGTGTGAGTTCTAAATTCCACATTGATTGAAAAAGTGAAAGTTATGAGTATTTTATAATGTGAAAATCCATACACATTTCACCTTAAAATTTTAGATGAATATATGGTGTTTCTATTACTTATTTGAATAAATCTTTAACTTTTAACTTTTAAGTGAATGTTTAATCAAACATAAATGTTTCTAACTCATAAACACCTCAATCACCACCACTATTGAGACATATTCTTGATGGACAATACTTATTCTCATATTGGTCTCATTGACTTCTTTAATACTCCTGAGTTTAAAGCTAATAAATAGCAAGGACTTGAGGGCGAAACTATTGTTTTATGGGTGGCCGGCTCAATTCAATAAAAGGCACTCCACTAATAGGTGCTCCACTCGTTGCGAACAAATTAACCCTCACTTCTAAACACTAAGTTACTCCCGTGATAAAACTTAAGACTTTAGGCAGTAAATCAATTTTCATTAAGACCAATCAATTTTCATTAAGACACCATACAGATAAGTTTATCTTTTGCTTCTACATCGACTTTTGCATTCTAAAATACTATTAGCACTAATTTAACAATCAAGGAAAATTTTCGTTTATCATTTAAAAAATCACCTGCTCTATTATATAACTTCACTTATTTAGTTTTTTTATTTTCTACATTCAATGAATAAAGATAAATATAAAATTAAACCATAATGGCATGCATATGATGCATTCATAAACCATAGTAACTTAATGATTTCAATTCCCAAATGTACTTTCTCATCTACACAATACTACTTATATTTGTAGTTTAGACAGCACCGAATTCACATTTTCTTTTAAATTGAAAATAATTATTGACCCAAAATGCAAAATAAAATGATTATAATAAAAAGTACTAAATAAAAACAAAAGCTAAACAAGAAACGGTTCGATAATAATCTCTTGTACAAATGAGAAAAGCCGCTTGAGTCAAAACTGAACCGGATCTCAGATCCACTTAAACCCGGTCTAAACCGGATATTGAAGCCCCAGCTCCACATTCCACGAACCGCCACCACAATCCTTCAACTCAACCCTTCTTTTCTTAACAGGAACAACATGATAAACACGCGAAACCGGTTCCAACCCAAGAGTCAGCTCTAACCCAACATTTTCCTCACCGGTTTGGTCCGTCCGCTTCAAACTCCGGTTCGACTCCGGTTCATCTCTAAACAAGTTCATCGAATTCTCCGCCGTTTCAACAGAAGCCATACTTTCACTTTCTTTACTCTCCAAATCCACCACAGCCACCGCATTCACCGCCTCAGACTGATGGCTAATCGACGACTCATGACTCGCAGCCCGGTTCACAATAACCTCTTCAACCGGTTCAACCGAACCAAATTCAATTCTCTTATCATCATTTCCACTCTTCACCTCCTCTTGTAACTTCGGCTTAGCCAAGCTCGACCGCTTACGAGATCGAGTCTTGACTCGCTGCTGAGTCAACTCATTCGATGCAGCCGAGTTCTCTTCTTTTGACACGTGGCGGATATCATAAGCCTTCAGCGGTGGACCCCTTCCATGAGTAGCCGCTTCTGAAGTAATCGGCGTGATCGGCGCGCCTTTTAAAACGGCTTCCACCGCGGCTTGACATAGCTGCCAGCTCCCCGACCATAATAAACCAACCGAACCGTAAATTGGGTTCACGATTCGACCACATGCTTCATACAACAACGATCGAAAAATTGCTGCAAATTATAAACAAAGTAAACATCAATAACATGCTTTTAATACTCTAATGACTAAAATTATTTTATCTATCACGCTATTATGTGATGTGATGTTTCAGCACAACTATCAACTAAATTATTACCTGGACGAAGATGTTCGGGACCAGCGTTGACGAGGTTCATGAGACCGGCACGACCGTAGAATTTAGCTAAAAAGACGGTGGCATTAGCTTGTGATTCAGGGTTTTTGATCCATTGCAAACAAGGTCTTATGCTACAATTTTCACTGCAACCTTTTCTTAGTACTCGACAACCGTTACAACTCATCCGCATTTTTTTTGCTATGAATTTTCAAAGACTTAGATAGAGAAGGAAATTGAGATTTTGGTGGAGGCTGAGATGTATGAGAAAGAAGGGTATATATTTGATGTGTGTGAGAAAGAGAAGAGAGAGAAAGCCAGTGGATTTTCAGGTACTAGATTGTGGGGAACGCAGTTGTTTCTTAACAATTGTTTTTGTTTTGTTTTATAGTACTTTGTGTGTTGTATTGTTGTGTTACTATAAAAACCATGGTTTTTCCATATTCAGGGAGGTTGGGTTTGTAGAAATAAACAGCTAAATTTGTACATAAAGAAAAGTGGAAAACCACTCTCATGAGAAGCGCGTGAGTGGAACTTCCAATCATAGGACACTTATCCCTTTGTTATTGGGGCATAGGTGACGTGGAATAACCTACATGAGCCAGCTATTCAGCACTACAACAATACTGTGTCGTGGCTTGCAAGTTGCATAGAGATTAAAGATCTTACATATTCAAAATTATTCGAATAAAACCATAAAATAAACAAATAAACCAACCGAACCGAATTTGAATAGGTAATTTCATATTTAATTATATTATTAATTAATTTAAAGATAATATATATTTATAATAAATGGTTTTGATAAATTATATTTTATTAAAAGGACTAATTATATTTAAATATTTAATATATTAAATAAAATTTTCTATTTAATAAATTACGAAAAAAAATTTACTAGTCACAAGCATTAAATATTTTTACCCATAAAAGGCCTATAGTATTAGGGAATCTTGCAGAAGAGTAAAAGAAAAGAAATGATGAAAAAGGTCAGAAATTACATGCAAAAGGGTACAAAAGTAGAGAAAAGAAGAAGGAGGCGCGTGTCAGTCACGATAAGGTGACAGAGTGCGGTCGAATCGCCACATATTATGGAGAGTGAGAAGCGGTTTTGGAATTTAAAAAAGAAAACAAATGGTAAAAGCTCCTGGTTTTCGGGAATTAAGATGGAAAGTGGTTTTTTAAGAGAAAACAGGTAACTGGTTTCTGGTTTTGGTTTTTGGGACTGTGGGCGCGGTTGCTGAAAGAAAGATAAAAAAAGTGTGAAAGCCAGTGGTTTTGGTTTAGATAGATTGTGTGGCGTGTAGATGATGTTAAATGTATTAGGTTTATTCTTGCTTCTAATCAACTACTATTAAGATATTAGTTAACTAATTTTGTAAATTAATTAGTATATTAATAGTAGTATAGTTTTTATTGGATATTAACTTTATTAGTAGTTTAATACTGTGGGACAAATGGGCATGTTCAACTTGCATTTATTTTTGTAGCTCAAATAAAGTACTACTTCATTCTTCTAATTGGCACATGTTTTGTGTTATACACAATTCTTTTCGAATCTAGTCAATTTTACAAATCAACTTTTTAATTACATGATTTTTTTTAAAATTTAGATGAGTTCGAATATGGAGCTCATTAGATTACATTAATAGCCTAGTTGAACTCACAATCTTTTAAAATAGGAATTTATTCTTTATTTTAATTTTTTTTTTACCCTTTGTTCTATTATATTTTAAATTTATTGTTTTTTAGAAAAATATTGTGATTATTCAGAGTCATTCATTCGTACGCACAAAGTTAATTATGATTACTATGTTAATTATTTTGTATTAAATTGTGTTTTTTTCAAGTCGACGAGTATATTTAAACGGTTGAATAAGAGAGTTAGCTCATAATAAATAAAGAAGATTCGGTTTGATTTATGAAAGTCAAAGACTATGGGATTAAGGTTGAGATGTCAATGAATTCAAAGATAAGCGTCTTTAAAAAGGAGATTATATGACGTCAAGCACATGTGTGGGTGTTTACTCTAAAAAATTATTTTATCAGTAAAAATAATTGAAGGAAGACTGTCAAATCACATGAGAATAATATTCTGACACATGTCTCTTTAGTCCAACTATTTTGCACAAGAAGGTATTAAGTCCCTTAAAACCATATTATAAAAGGAAAGACAATACAACAAGACAATGCACACACTTTTCTATCTAAAATACCCCTTACTACCTTCAGTAGTCAATGATTTGGACATCATAATGTTTGCAGTACTCTGACACCTAACCAAGATACCATAACATCAATTATAAGCTAGAATACACCATTAAATCTAGGTCAAATAATCTAGCACTAAATACCTCATATCCACTCGATATCATTGATGTCATCTGTGAAAAATTTCTTAGTGATATTTTTCTTTCTTTACCTCACACTAGGATGGTACGCCCGACTAAGATAATCTTGAAGATAGCACCCAACAAAATTTTGTCACTGACATTACACAAGCGCAATCGAATAAGTCACCCCAATCTAACAGTAATAATGGATGGATCCAGATTCCTTATCAACCTTTTTGTCAACACTTCAGGGAAATCTTCAACTAGTGGGAAGAAATTTCCACCTAATAAGGTCGAAGAAATCCAAAGGGTTGTCAAGGAATTCTTAAAAGTCGGATTTATAAAAAGGCAAAGTTCGTGACAATGCTTTACAACATGGTCATGTTGCCAAAATCAAACAACAAATGGTGTATGTGTGGCAACTACTGAAACCTTAATAGAGCCTACCTAAATGATGCATACTCACTTCCAAATATTGACAAGCTTGTTAATATTTCTTTGGGATTCAAAGTTTATTCTTTCATAGATGCATACTCTGGCTATAACCAAATCCTGATGGATCCCCTCGATTGCAATAAAACAGAATTCATGACCAATGTGGGGAATTTATGTTATAATGGTATTCTCTTTTGGCTGAGATTATTCAAAGGACATAAGCCAAGCCAATTGCCTTAACGATGGGTCGACGTCATAGATAGAGCTTGAGGTCACCTAGGATAGGGCCTAAGGTCACTGAGAATCAAGCCTTATGTCTCTCAATTAGGCTTGGGTTATCTAAGATATTACATTCACTCACCATGTGTGACTGATGAGGTGTCCAAATATTGAATGGGTGAAGGAATTATTCAAAAGGGAAAATCGTTCCTCATGATCTATGGAAGGGCCATGTCTTTCTACATCTCCACGTCTCTAACTGAAAAAATGGGGAAAATAACTCCTCTTGGTTTTGATTCAGACCCAAGGGTTATCCTATATATACCACATTTACATAAATGGAAAAGGATCGCAAAATTCCCTCATAAACATATACAAGAGCTCTACATTACCCTTACATGGGTGAGCTTTATAGCCTAAATCTCATATTGTTCTAAACAACTAGGAGTTGTCCCCCATTGTACTTTTTTAGCAAGTATAATTGACACCGCCGCGAGGTTCTGGTAAAAGTGACTTGGGATACCCTCATATTTATAGACCAACTCAATGTCCACCTCTGTCATCCTTTATAATATGGTAAATAAGCAAGCATATACTTTTGTTGGGAGAGATTGTGGAGTATTCAACGAAGAGATTAAAACCTTCGTTTAAAATAGTTTGAAAAACTTTTATCAAAGTTTAAAACAAAAATAATTTTACGTGTCAAAAACAAACTTTAACGTACGAAGAGAATATGCTTATAGATTGAAATTAACATGTAATAACTTAAATAGTTCACAATATAATCAAGATTGAAACATAAATTCAACCAAATATACAAACCAATTAATTGTATTAAATATATGTCAAAATTACACAATGTGTTTGCTTTTACAATATCAATACTTTATGGATCCTACAATCATAGTTTTTAGCTTAATCTTCAATAAGAAAAAAAATCAAGGTTCCAATCCTAACAAAATATATGCTTTACGAATAGATCGCTACCAAAAGAAATCCTAATGGCATGCAATTCTAGAAATCAATAAAGAACAACCTAACATGCAATTTGTACAAAATTAAAAAGGAGAGAGAGAGAGAGAGAGAGAGAGAGAGAGAGAGAGAGAGAGAGAGAGAGAGAGAGAGAGAGAGGTGTACATCAAGATTTATAGTGGTTCAGTTATCGTCCTCGTTAAGCTTAATTCATTCTCCAATGGTTGGCCATTGAAAAAAATTTGGTCTTCCAATAATATTTGTGACAAAATTACATGACTTTAGTATAATCACAATATCAAAATTAACGATGAAAATATAAAGATCTTCAATCTAGATCCCTTGACTTGTATACAATCTACGAAATGAACTCTTTGCAAAATCTTCACACAAAATCGTCTTGAATCTTCCAGCCCTAAGAACTTCCTCCAAAGTTTATGTTTTGCAATGATATTTACTCGATCCTACCATTATTTTGAGTGTTGTTATATCCTAAGATTAAGAAGAACTCATACCTTTCCTGTAGGTTTCTGCACAATATTACCAAGATGAATATGGAGAGAATAACCTCCTTATTTTTCATTAGAATTACCAAAACAAGCCACACCGCCACACGTCTTGCGAACCTCTGAAATCTTAACTGAATATTCAAAGAAACATTAAATTTAATAAAGTAATCTCTTTAACAATCACAAATATCCAAATATGAGATTCGGATCCATGCAACAATGGAGAAAGAATGAGGTAGAACATGGAAAAAATCGTTTGCAAGTGTTCAAGAAAGATTCAAAACGCTTTTGAACATATGAGATAACAAGTAGTTTGTGAGTTTTCAAAACAATATTAGAAGTGTATGTTTTCTAACATTTTGAAGGTTTTGAGAAAAAAAATATCTTTATGTGCTGGAGATCTAGCACAAAATGAGATAAGAATGGTGTATGATTCAAGTCAAAAGCAATAGTTATAATTGGAATTACAAAACCAAGTGATTTGAATCAAGAAGCAAAAACTATACGAAACCCATTTCTGTGATTCGAGTCATAAAATATGTGATTCGAGTCACTTGATTTGAGTCAGACAACTTACTTATTCGAATCAAAGTTCCATAAGCCACCAGTAAGATTTCCATTTCAGTTTGATTTGAATCACGCAATTCTATGATTCAAGTCAGACTCTTTTAAATCAAATTAAACATTCCTTTGATTCAAATTAGAAGATCTTAAAAATACATCCT